GTGATACAACATTAATGATTCTTCTATTATCGAATATGATAGGAATTCTTAAAATGATGTTTTTTTATGTGGAATAAAGGTGACAAACGAACACTCAATCCACCTACATACATCCTACCTACATCTATTCTTGATAAAAAAATCAAAATGCAGGTGCATTATCACCCCGAAGGACTAAGATAGAATCTCTCGTTTCCAGTAAAAAGGGGTATTCTGTTCTCATAGGAAACACAGCAGCATTAGGCTGCCATTTTATGCTACTAATCCCCGAGAGCGTGGTACGACTACGTGGTACAACTATAATATAGCTGTAGTAAGAAATGCATGGAAGTTGTTCCGCGTAACGTATGAATATTTCAGTAGGTGCCAAGTGGGTCATAAACAAGAAGCAGCAAAAGTTTAGGTAATTGCTAACTAGCGTTCGGAAATTATGTTACTAGTTTAAAGTTACATAAATGTTTTCAAAATTATTGCTTTTATTCGAAATTTTACTAAGAGATTTAAGGCATATCGGCGGATCTCTTATCTTTTGTTGTATATAATAAAATGCGCCATACACTCTTTGTGTACATCACCTTTTACCTTACGTCACTCATGAACGAAATGTGGTGATGGACACACGGTAAGGATTCTGTGACTAATACAGTTTATTATTGGACATAACACTGTCCCGGCTTCATCTGGATGGGATCAATTATTATTGTCGAGTTATTTAGATTTAAGATAATCATCAGACTAGTGATGAGTTAAATCAGTTTTGGTCTTTCAGTCTTGGCCTTCGTCATGCGATTTTGCAAGATAAAGACCAAGATCATAGATAAACTAGCAAGACCAAGACCAAGGCCGAAACCAACACCGAGAATCTAAACTAAAAATTATAACTTCCATTGTAGAATGTATGAGAATATGTTTTCATAACTTCAAATTCATCCAGTCAAAGTAGTGATCAACCTCGGAATGATGAATTTTCGTATACTCGTATATCTTCATTTTGGCATTCTTGAAGATGTCTCAAAAGTCTTATAAAATCTCGTGTCTGTATCGTAAGTTATTTTAGGTCAAAGGTAAAAAAAAACAGTCTTTCGCGATTAACTAGGTTTATATTGCTGCAATGATGTTAATATCTTTTTTACAATTGTGGAACATAAAATTTATTTGAAACATTTTTTCATGCGCTCTAACTTTTTCTGCGACAGCGGGCGGTGAGTGCGCAGCGCTCAGCCATACGAACTGTAACGCAAGGTCAACCGTGAATATTAGCCCCCTTAGCTCAATGTTGATATAACTCGATGACACTTTGACGACTTCGTGGCGCATTGGCTTAGCAATAAGTTGTAGCGTTAATAGCTGCGGGTCCCGCATGGACTAAGTATTTGTATTGCCGACAAATAATTGATCCGGGTCTTGATGTTCGTCTTTCCAAAATTTATGTGTGCAAACTGCCTCCACGATACAGAAGAAAATCGCAGTGGTGGTAATGTTTTTAACTTCCCGCTATGAAAATAAATGATTTTCAAAAAATCGGGAAGTTATTTGTTTCACCCCAGTCTTCGAAAATCTAGATTGCATAAGATCTCGACGTTTTGAGATCCTGGGAAGCTAATCTGATTATTCCTACGAGGATTTAAAGAAATCGATGACAAAAATTTTCGAATTTTTTTTACATAACTACGAGTATATAATCTAAATAGCATACTACGAATATTGTCGTTTTTTATAAAAGAGGGGGCAAACGAGCATGCGGCTCACCTGATGGTAAGTGACTACCGCCGCCCATTAACGACCGCAACGCCAGGGGAACTGCAGGTGCGTTGCCGGCCTTTTAGAAAGGATTAAGCTCTTTTCTTGATGGTCCCTAATTCGTATCGGTCCGGATAAATCGCCGGTGGTAAAAAATTCCACAGAGAAATTGTACAAGGTAGAAAACTCCTAGTAAAACGCACGGTAGTGGGCTGCCAAGCATCCAGATGGTGTGGATGGTATCTTGAATTTTGACGCGATGTGCGTTGATGAAATTTGGCGGCTGGGATAATCCGAACAATTCTTCACAGCACTCTCCGTGGTAGATGCAATAGAAAATGCAAAGTGATGCAACATCTCTACGCAGCGCCAGTAAATTGAGCCTATCAGAATGAACTCGGTCGTCAACGAATCGAATCGCTCTGGGCTGGATGCGGTCAAGTGGAAGGAGCTGGCACTGGAGTGGACCGATCCAGAGATGAGAACAGTGTTCCATGTGAGGCCAAACCTGCGCTTTTTAAAGTTGCAAACGATGTGCCCGCATGAAATACTGTCCCGCACTGCTGAGCACGACAAGCTTTTTAGAGGCCAATTAGGCCTTCTCCTAAAAGTGACGACGAGTATGTCGACGCTGAGGATTCTAATGCTAGCTGAGGCAGCAAGGGAAATGCCTTGAAACTGAAGAGATACGGCAAATGGGTTCTTTGAACTGGACTAGATTTAGTCGCCCAAATCCGAGACTTTGTTCCCGGTTTATTTGTACTCGGTCTTTTAGGAATCAATCAATTTAACATAAAACAAAGGTTTTTATAAAAAAATTATGAAACAAAAACATAACCCAGAATACAGATAATCCCCCTGCCCTTAACACAATTTATCAGGGATTGGTGCAGCTTTTTGTCTTCTATTTATCCCGATCAGCCCATACTAGCCATATAATCTTTCACACAATCCATCCCATGTCCATGTAGCTCAAAGTTTATTGCGAAGTCACCGAATGGCCGCCTAACTAATATTTTGGCAGGCTTTCGTTTCGCAGTATGCTTGTTAAATACTAAGAAAACGCTGCAGGCCCTTCCATCCGACACCAAACGTGATCATGATAGCTATTTTATGATGACTTCATATAACAATACTAGTTATTTAATTAGTAATTACAAATATAATACACAATAGCTTGAGATCCATGTAGATTGGAAGTGGGGGGAGGGGTTTACAACGTGTACAGTCTAAATGAAGTACGCAAATATGAAATTTGGTAATATTAGATTAATATTCCTCAGGCTAAAATTAATAGAAAGAACAATTTTTAAGAGCAGTGCAATAAAGAGTTGATATTGTATATTTAACATAAAAAAAGTATTTTGTACCCCTGATTTTGATGGTATGTTAGTCTTGCCCCTTATTTATATCTACACAAATGACCAAAAAAAGAAATCTTTAACGTTATACATAAGATGCAAAATAAAAGTTACAATTGTTAACACTTAAGTACGATTTACCTGCAGAAACTGCTTTAGAACTCTACTTTAGTACCAACGTTAAAGTAAAAATATTACTGTTAATCTTATCCCATGAGGCGGGAAAGACTAACAGTTTTTCCTGATTTACATTTTCTTCAGTATTACCGTTTTGAAACTAACTGAACACTAATGCAAAAATTCATATAAAAGTTTATTATATCGTTATATCAGTATAACTTATACCTCAAATAGAAATAGAGCAAACAACTTCTTCATAAAAGGGCAAGAACGCGAAAAGTAGTACACTGCTTCAAAATTGAGCTTTAATATTTTTTTGATAGAATTTCCTTGAATTTTTCACTTAATATTATCTCCAATAATTCCTTTTTCCGAAAATCGTAAAAGTTTTCTCCTAAAGTGGTTATTTTGTGAGAAATTTGCAAATTTCTTAAAGTAGGTTAAAATATTAATCCTGTTCGTTACCGCTGGTTTTTGGTTCATTAGTATAGTTAAAACTTAAATTGTATGCAAATATTATTTATTGAATTAAAGAAAACATGATTTTTTTATTTATAAAATGTATTTTCAGGTTGATAACTTAGAAATACACGAGATTAATCTACTTTTCCTGTCCTGTACGTTACTAAAGGTGTAAAATGTATCCAAAAAGTTTTTCATAAAATTCACAAAATTAGCGGTTCTGATATTTAACTATTTTAATTTATAGTATTTTGATGAACTACGTTATTTCCTAAAATAATGTGTGTACATATTTTAAACCTTCTCAAATAAAGTCAACATTTTTAGCAACATTTGCTTAGGGTACAGTCTCGTAACAGGACATGCTAACAACGAACAGGACCCTGTAAGGTTGAGTTCACATGCCGCTTAATATTAGGATACACTTTGGGGTGGGTGGGATCTACCTCCTAGCGGTCCACCCTGGGCAACGTCAACACAATTTGTGATGGCGGTTAAAGATCCCAAAGGCAGTGATAGGCCCTGAAAGGGGCCGCCTGGCTCGCGACCACCATCCCACCGGAGTCCGGCGCCAAGCAGCTCTGCTGTATTCTGTCGGTGTGCGGGAGTATCAGTGCCTTCTGGGCAAGCTTGCTCCATCGCAGATCCCATCTCTGCTCTAGGGCAAGATTGGGGTCAAGAGCAAGCCCATATAAAACAAAAAAATAAATAAAAAACTTTTTAAATATTTAGTATGAGATCGTTACATATAATCAATTATTTTAGTTTTAAACTAGAACTTATGAATAAAAAACGTTTAGGTAACTCGTAGAAATAAACATGGATCGATAATATTATTTTTTATTTATTTATTCTAATTCAAAAATTTACTGCCCCGTCATGCAATTTCAAAGGAGATGTATAAAATCATGTATTCGATCCATGTTTCAGTAACAAAGTTTTTATTAAAAATAAATTATAACTGCTTTTTTAGTATACATCGAAGCTAAAACTTAATTCTATCAATATGTGACTTGTAATATTTTGTACCTATTTGCTAATAAACATGTATTATCTTCATTAAACTACTATTTTTGGTGATAACGAGATAGCTCTAAATCACAATAAGCTCAGACTATTAAAGTAATATGTTCAGTCTCAGATTTATGATGTCTTAAACATTAAAACAAATAATCATTTGGACTCGATGAAAAAGACATGAATCATTTGTCTACAAAATAAACTTATCTTAAAGTCGTAGTGTGTACATAATAAAAAATAAAAAACAAAATATAAGGGCATAGTAAAGCTCTTCGAGTAGAAAAATTGCCAAATCACTTACATAAGGCAATTATCGCAAATATAATCTTTGGTGACTTCTCCCGTGGCACAGGCCAAACAAAATCGGTTACAACAAGATATACATTTAGTAATGCAATTCGAGAGGAGAGGACCATTGCAACTGTAACATGTAAATGCGCGTTTCACAATCATCTTTAATCCTTTTGATTGTTTCGGTAATCTCGTTTGTTCGGTTTTAGATTTTAAGTCAACAGAAACATTACTCAAAATAGAAACTGTACTTTTTCGCAAGCTTTTTGAAGTGCATGGTTTGCTGTTATTTTTCGAGTTTATTTCTTCTTCAATACTTTTCTTCACTTTTGGTTGCGAAACACATAACACGCTGCTGCTAGACCTTTTTTTAGGCTTATAAGTAAGTTTCATCTCCAAAGGATGAATGGTTAGGTCGACAATACATGGGATCTTCCTCATAGTACTTAAATTCTCTTTAAATGAATCGGCTTGGCTAACTGCATTTGTCTGTGTGTAATCCGCGGGATGTGTAGGGGAAATATGTGGACGTTCCATTACAGTTGTTTCCTCTACAACAATCTCATCATTGGTGGTATTTTGGTCCAACATTTGAATGTCATTTACCAAGTCAGTTTTGAAAACATTCGGCTTATTATCAGCTGTAGAATTTGTGTATGAAATGTTCAGATAATCCATCACTGTTGACTCTTTAACGCTCATCTTATCTTTTGCAGTCTTTGTGTTGTCCACGACTTCAATAACAATGTCACCATTGTTTTGCGTTTTGACCTTTCCGACAGAAAGGAAGTCCACGTCATCCATCGCTGAATCGCCTTGGCTAATATTGGGCTTACCAGTGTTTCCGTTTGAACAACTATTTACCTCGTCCATCGATGAGTTGGCTTTGATAGTATTTGGTTTCGAAGAATCTCCAATGAAAGAAAAGTCCTCGTCCACATTTTCAAGCGCTGAGTTAGTTTGGTTTGGCTTTGTGAGATCACCAATTGATGAAAGTTTACATCATTCATCGCTGACAGTTCCTCAAGGTTTATCTCAACATCCACATTCATTAAATCTGATGGTTCAATATCATCTAATGTATCAGCTGCTTCAATGCCTCTATTTTCTGTCGTAGGACATTCGAATTTGTGGATTTTTGGTTCGTAACATGAACATAAACCCCTTTGTGACCCACAAAAACATCCCAAGTCTCTGTAAGTAATAGTTCCAGGTTGTTGTGTTGCAATCTGATGTAATTGCATTGTTCCAACTACAATTGATAGCTTTTGAGGCAAAAGAGCAGCAATTTCGTCAATATCTTTCTCAGAGATATACCAAATCTTAATTGTGCACAGAGAGTCCTTTAAAACTTCAAAAGCGTCCGAAGCATTTGAAATATCTCTTCCGAAACAAACATTCCTGTCTAAAACTCTTTTCACTGTGCCTCCTATACCATCCGCCACGCCCTTACCGTGCCCACTTTCAAAAAATGACCACGTACAATGGTCCAAATTCAGTTTTTGCCTAAAAACGCTGAGCAGATAGAAATTGTTTTTTTGGCGATACTGTGAAGTAGGGCCATCGGAATAGAAGTGAATAACAGTAACTTGAGGCTGATGTTCTTTAATGTACTCAAGCACAGGTTTTAAATGGGCCCAGATTGCTTGTGGTTGGTGAACGGTGCTTGGCGACACAGTGCAAAATGATTGGGATGTGTCTTTGAAGTAGATCATGCCGGTATGTAGCGAAATCTGACATTTAGACCCACCAAAGTGCAAACTCTGAATCTCTGAGCTTAGTTTTGATTCGTAGTTCTGAGAAAAGTCACAAATGACTAAAGCTTCATTTTCTTTCAAATACGTAACGCCCTCCTGATATTTTTCTTGTTGGTGGTGTACATTGTAATGGTGTTTTTTGAATAATTTTAAGTCCGCCTTAAATATGCGTAATAGTTCACGCAATGTGCTTGTGATTTTGATTTTTTCTGTTTTTATGCAAACATAAGTCTTCTTTTCAGTCCCGTCCTTTTTTCAAATATTCATGTCGTTTTCGCTCCCACTGAGTCCAAGTAACCATTTCGTCTAAATACATACCGGGTTCAAAGTTAAGAGGCTTATTTTTGCATGTTCTGCATTTTCCATGCATGCACAAGGGAGATTTTAGGTCACAGGATAGTTCTTGGAGTACATCTTTTATGTGTCGGTGTTCAGTTAAGCCACTCTTTCTCAAAGCTTTAAATTTCAGTTGGATATTATCGTGTTTAACGCAGAGGCAAGTGTCACGTGATGCAAGATGAGGAGCCAATACAAAAAATGGTTTGTATTTACGGAAAGTTGTTAATTTGTACCTCCCACCTTCACTCCTATATTTAACGTATAAGTTATTCAATGTGTCCAACAAATACCGGATTTGACGCTTTTCTTTGTTTTTGGATCGACATTCCTTCTTGCCAGCGGTGCAACGGCTAACATCGTCTCTGATGAAAAAATTTTCAATTTCAGTTATTCTGCCTTTAGATGTTGTTTTCTTCTTGTACTTGGTTCTTCCTGATAAACCCATTAATTTAGCTACGAAAGATTTTACTTCAGCGTTTTCTACTATCCCTTTCAGTACTCTCTTTTCTGCTTGTTTCTTGCAATTCTTATACGTCTTTTTTAAAGCAGCTTCTAAAATTTCTTCGCGCGCTTTCATATTATCGATAGTGAGTTTCAGGTTTTTAATTATAGTTTCACTGGCATTTTTTTTGTCTATACAATCTTTTTTTCAACCTCTCTTTTATTCTTTGCAGTGATTGTTCGTTTTTTTGAGATTGTTCAATTTTTTTTAATAATATGTAACACTTTTTTTCATGTATTTCAATTTTGACTTTAAACTCGAATCTGACTCTCGACTTTTTCTGCTGAGCGAATTTTCCCTGAATGATACTCCATCCCTATCAATGTTTTCGTTGTCTTTATCTTGGTTCTCATTACTTTTGTTTATTTTTTTATTTTTACTTTGCCTCTTTTTTTGATCTCGCCATTGTTTTCTTATTTTATCTTTATCGGCATCATCGAGTTGTGATATTTTCTTTCTTTTAGTTTTTATGCGTTGTAGGTCTTTTTTCTTCTGTTGTTCATATTTTTGGGGATTATCTTTAATTTTTTGGCGATAACGGCGCATTTTTTCAGCTGCAGTGAGCACCATATTGAAATCTGAAATTCCATTAAGTACAATTATTTACCTGTTGAATTGATACCTAAATTATATTTCTTACATACATGTATTATTTTTTTTTTTTCAGGAAAAATGAGCCAACAACAAACAAGCCTAACAAAAAATTCAGTAACTTTCTCTATAGAACTACAATAAAACAAAAATTAGTATCTGGAATAGCACACTTTTTCTAGCTATTTTGACTCCAAAACAAAAATAGTAGACCGATTTTGATGAAATTCTATTTGACCAATCCAGAATATAATAAATCTTAAATAAAAAATGATTTTCGAAATAACTATATAAATGAAGGAGTTCAGAGGTACCTAAAAACAATAAATAAAATAATAGAAAAAAATCAAGTTTACACCATGTAAACCTTGCTTTACGTGATCCTGTTCGTGACTTTCAAGTCCGGCCTATACGTTACCACCGCGATGGTAACGGACATGAGGTAACGGAATCGAGTACTTCTTATACAAAACTATAAAATTTCTACAATTGCTGATATTTATCACACATTTTTTCACATTATAGTAATCTTAAATAGTTCATGTAAGTTTTAGACATAAAATATGCGTTGGAAACACGTTATAACACCAAAAAACAAATTAATTTACTCACCGGACAGTGCCCGTAAAAACACAACCTCTCAAAAACGCCGAAAATGAAACAGCTGTTTGAATAAAATGGCTGATTTAACCATAGACATCTTTTTTTTTCTTTTTTCGGTCTCATTATGATGTTGCCGTTTAAATAAAAAAATAAATACCACATTGAACAAAAAAACTATAAATTTAAACGAAAATGCGGTAACGGTACCTGGACATGTCCGGTAGGTTCATATGCCGGGGACAAATTTAAAAATTACTTATTTAGTAGAAATTCTAGCTTTGGCAGCACAATTAACTTAAAAAATAATTAAAATTCCGCCAAATTTCAAATATGTAACTAAAGGTTTGCCAGTGAAATAACTTTTTTTTCACAAAACGCTGTTAAAAATGCCGGTTTTTTTTAAGGGACAGTACTATACAACAAAATCACGATTTTTTAAACTTAAATTTTTACAATTCAGTATAATTTCATGCGTAAAATTTTAATAAATATGACATGCCTATTTCATCTAAAATCAACTAATATGGTAATGATTCTTGTAAAACTTATCAAAGTCGCACAGCAGTACGATATAACCTGGGGACATGTAGAAAAGTCCAATGTACATCTTTTCGCGTTCTTGCCCAAAAACCGTTTTTTTTTATGCCTGGCAGGAAACTATGTTGGTCTTACCCAACCTGACTATATATACAGATTTATAGATGGTGTGAAACGTGATAGACATACATTAAAATAAGCTTATTTTTAACTTTTTCGAGCTCAACCGACGTGGTTAGGCAAACATATCCACATAGTTGGCCACAAATGGGATGTCCGCACAGCTCATAAAACATAAGAGCCCATCTGTCCCGGACTTGCTGGCACCTTAATCGTTCACATATGACCGACCATCTTTATCTTGGGACGGGTGAGGGCACATTAATATACATGAATTTCTAGTAGCATATATATTATGTTTCCCTCTTAATAGTTGTACTGAAAATCTAAATATACAAAAGAGGATGTCCTGATGGACTTACTTATTTATTAATGCACAGCCCAAACCGCTAGACGTAGAAATCTAAAATTTAGACAGAAGCTGCCTTTTATAACGTAACTCTGTCTTCTATAGCGTATATACTAAGAAAGGATTATGTGAAAATTCAACTCCTAACCGGGGTGAAATAGGGTGATTTTTATTTTATGGTGGGTGAATTTTTCTATTTTATGGACTGAATATTTATTGAAAGTAAACTGTAGATTAAATTAATGAACACGCATTTTTCAAAACTACCTTCTTATCTTCACGCACAATCCCTAACGGGGTAGCCAGAGAGAACAGATCGCCAAGTGTCACGATCCTTACATACCTCTTTCGCTTCTTTCAGGTTCACTATCTTCTTCATACATGCACGTCTAGGTATCCCAGTACTCTTGACCTTCCCCTCAAAACTACCCTTTACGCAATAAAGGCCATATAGTATTGAAATTAGTATGGATAAAAAATAATGAATGGTTTCTTTTATTTGAAAACTAGTGTACATATAATCTTTAACGACCTCCATTTTGCAGACTTCAGAAAAGTAAGGGGTTTTCAATTCAAATGTACAATTTGTATGTATGTTTCGCGATACCTATACTAATTATCAGTCAAATTCTTTTATAAATAGTCTATTTTACAAGGATGGTCTCATTTAAATTTGAAGAAAAACTTGTGTCCCTATATGTTAAAATAGGAGTGTAATTACTTAAACGACAGTTTAGTTGCTAAGTTGAAGGTGTGATGTTCCTTAGTCTACACAAATAGGTCATAACTTATAAAAGTTAAACCGACTTAAAAATGTTAAAAATAATTTCGACGTAACAGATTCTGAAGTCGGTGCTAATACACAGTTTATCAAAAAAAATTAAGGATATTCAGACGTGTGGGTTGGTATTATTTGTTCTTATTTAGTTTATAGATATAAGCGACAGTAGCCTAATGGCAGGGCGCGGACCGCGAACTCAAAAAGGTCGTGGGTTCGAATCCACCA